GTGACAGAAAGACTAAGATGACCCTCAATGATCTCTGACTCCTGATATGCATGCCTTTGTGTAATCTCCTTCCCTTGAGAGTGTGCTGACTTGTCAAGTTATTTCTAATCAACTGAATATGGCAAAGACCGTAGGAAGTCACTTATGTGATTAAAGTTACAAAAGAGAACTTCTTTCTTTTCTTGCTAGAAGACTCTTTATTGACTGTCTTGCTGGCTTTCATGAAGTTTGAATGCCATATTGAAGTTTTATGACTATTTTCAACTTTTTGAAGAACCTCCATACTGTTTTCCAGTTTGAATGCCAGTATGTATATATGTATGTATGTATGTATGTAAAGTTTGAATGCCATATCGAAGAAGCCCATACAGCAATGGAACTGAAATTGGATCCTGGCCAACAACCAGCCTGAAACTGATTACCTTAGTCTAACAGCCTGTAAGGAACTAAATCCTGTGTGAGCTTGGAAGTCATCCTTCCCCAGATGTGCCTTCATGTAAAACCTGGCCCATACCTTGACTATAGACTTTTTTTTTTTAAGTTTTATTTATTTAAGTAATCTCTACGCCCAAGTTGGGGCTTGAACTCACAACCCTGAGATCAAGAGTCACATGCTCTTCCAACTGAGCCAGCCAGGTAGCCCTTGACTGTAGCCTTTTGAAAGACCTTGAAGTACAGGACAAAGGTTGTGCTCAGACTCATAAACCTCAGAAACTGTGAGATAATGACTGTGTGTTGCTCTAAGCTGCTAAGTTTGTGGTAGCTTGTTACAAAGTAACGGATAATGCAGTGTAATAAAGGGTATGATTTCCATTTTTGATGTTTGACTGCTGTGTATCATTTCCTTTAGTGCAGGTGGGGAAGTTCAAACTACACAAACCCCAGCCTCTTCATGGGAACTCTTGCAGAGCCTGACCCATAAGTGCAATAAAAAACCCAAGCCACTCTCCCCTCCCTTACCTCTCAATCCATTCTGAGACCTGCTTGGAATCCTCCCTTCTTCTCCCCAGAAAATCTCACTATGTAATAAACCTTTCCCTACCCTGTTGGTGCATGTGTGGTACCATCAGTCTTGACACCCAAACCAAATTTTGAGTTGGGGTCTATCCCACATCTTTAGGGTGGCTGTAAAAATGAGAGCAGTGAGCAGAGTGTCCAAGCAATAGCTACCACTACCAGGGGTCTCTCTTCTCATGCTTTGGTTTCCTAACAAGCTCTGTTGCCTTTTAGCAACTACGTATTTTGGGTTGTTGCCTCCTGGAAAGCATGCTGTTTGGTATGTGCTGCTGTCTGGAGAGTTTGTGCTTTGAGCTTTGCCACTTTGTGCTGTATTTTCTGAATCCTACCGAACCTCCATTATAGATTTAACTGATTTAAATCACAAGTTTTGATAATTGGCATTTACAGGAATGAGATTGAGGCCCTCCTTAGAGTAGCTCTCGGTCATGTGTCTTTGCCCAAATCTCTATCTCAGATTGAATCATATGTCTCAATTCCAGCAAAGTTATTACTGATGCTAGGCTCAGGGAAATGACACTTACCCTGGGACAATTACTTGTGTGTTTCAACCAGGCACTGACACTCCTTCTAAAGTGCATGCAGGAGAAAGATTGATAGCCTGTGCAGTATTCAGGACTGCTGGGTGATTGCTTCTGTGAAAGAAATGCAGTCACCTAGCATGTTACAAATCTATACTCCTAGGGCACCTGGGTGGCTCAGTTGGTTGAGCGGCTGCCTTCGGCTCAGGTCATGATCCTGGAGTCCCGGGATCGAGTCCCGCATCGGGCTCCCTGCTCGGCGGGGAGTCTGCTTCTCCCTCTGACCCTCCCCCTCTCATGCTCTCTCTGTACCTCATTCTTTCTCTCTCAAATAAATAAATAAAATCTTTAAAAAAAAGAAAGAAAGAAAGAAAGAAAAACACTCATGGAACCCTGTGGCATGGTCCCTTATGAAAAGTGGCCCTGAATACTTTATGCTCATCCCTTTTAAAGGGTGTAAGACAATATCACCGTATAGCCAACTGTAAAATAAAACAAGAAAGACTTTGGGATTGATTGAGGGCCACAGATTATCAATGTTCAGAAAGCAGGGTGGGAAAATCAGTACCCAGAATTGCTAAAATATATAACACAATATATTACCTAATGTGTTAATTTTAAACAAAAAAATTATGAGACATACAAAGGAATAGGAAAATACGACCCAGACATGGGGGAAAAAAGCAAGCAATTGAAATTGTCTGAGAGGGCCCAGATGTCACATTTAACAGAAAAGGACATCAAAGAAGCCATTAGGGGCGCCTGGGTGGCTCAGTCTGTTAAGTGGCTGCCTTTGGCTCAGGTCATGATCCCAGAGTCTTGGGATCGAGCCCAGCATCAGGCTCCCTGCTCAGCGGGGAGCCTGATTCTCCCTCTCCCACTCCCCCTGCTTGTGTTCCCTCTCTCACTGTCTCTCTCTCTCTGTCAAATAAATAAATAAAATCTTTAAAAACAAAACAACAAAAAAGAAGCCATTAAAATTATTTTGAAGAACTGAAAGAAAGCATGACTAAAGAAGCAAAAGAAAACATGATGACAATTCTTCATCAAAGAGCAAACATTAATAAAGAAATTGAGGGGTCCCTGGCTAGCTCAGTCAGAGGAGTATGTGACTCTTGATCTCGGGATCATGAGTTTAAACCCCACATGGAGTGTAAAGATTACTTAAATAAATAAAACTTTAAAAAAAAAGAAAAAAATTAAAATTATAGTAAACCAAATAGAAATTGAGTTTAAAATTGCAATAACTAGGGGCACCTGGGTGGCTCAGTTGGTTAAGCGACTACCTTCGGCTCAGGTCATGATCCCAGGGTCCTGGGATTAAGCCCTGCATCAGGCTCCCTGCTTGGCTGGAAACCTGCTTCTCCCTCTTTCACTCCCCCTGCTTGTGTTCCCTCTCACACTGTCTCTCTCTGTCAATTAAATAAATAAAATCTTTTAAAAAATAAAATAGGGGCGCCTGGGTGGCTCAGTCGTTAAGCGTCTGTCTGCCTTCGGCTCAGGTCATGGTCCCAGGGTCCTGGGATCGAGCCCCACATCGGGCTCCCCGCTCGGCGGGAAGCCTGCTTCTCCCCCCTCCACTCCCCCTGCCTGTGCTCCTCTCTCACTGTGTCTCTCTCTGTCAAATAAATAAAATCTTAAAAAATAAATAAATAAATAATTTAAAAAAATAAAATAAAATTGCAATAACCAAAATGAAAAACTGACTTGAGGAACTCAACAGATTTGAGCTGGCAAAAGAATGAATGTGAATATTATGAAGATTAGTAATTCCAAGTATAGAAAGAAAAAAGAATGAAGAACGGACAGAGCCTCAGAGAAATGTAGGACATCATTAAGAATGCCAACATACATGTAAAGGAGAGAAGCAGAAAAAACACTTAAGAAATAATGGCTGAAAATTTCCTGATTTACTGAAAAACTTTAATATACACATCCAAGAAACTCCAGGCAAAGATCCACAAGGACCTCATGGTAAAATTAATAAAAGGTAGTCAAGAAGAAACTCTTGAAAGCGACAGAAAAAGACTTATAACTTACAAGGGAGCCCCGATAAAGTTAACAGTGGATCTCTTATCAGAAACAATGAAGACCTGAAGACAATGGGATGAAATATTCTAAGTTCTGAGAGGAGGGGGTAAATCTGTACACAAAGAATTTTATATGCAAGTAAAATTGTCTTTAAAAAATGGTGAAATAGGGGTGCTGGGATGGCTCAGTCAGTTAAGTGTACGACTCTTGGTTTCAGCTCAGGTCATGATCTTGGAATCATGGGATTAAGCCCCACATCTGGCTCTGTGCTCAGCATGGAGTCTGCCTGAGATTCTCTCCCTCTCCCTCTGCCCTTGACCATGCTCGCATTCTCTTTCTCTCTAAAATAATTTAGGGGCGCCTGGGTGGCTCAGTTGGTTAAGCAACTGCCTTCAGCTCAGGTCATGATCCTGGAGTCCTGGGATCAAGTCCCGCATCGGACTCCCCGCTCGGTGGGGAGTCTGCTTCTCCCTCTGGCCCTCCCCCCTCTCATGCTCTCTCTGTCTCATTCTTTCTCTCTCAAATAAAATATTTAAAAAAATAAAATTAAATAAAATAAATAATTCAGGGGTGCCTGGGTGGCTCAGTCATTAAGCGTCTGCCTTCAGCTCAGGTCATGATCCCAGAGTCCTGGGATGGAGCCCTACATCAGGCTCCCCATTCAGTGGGAAGCCTGCTTCTCCCTCTCCCACTCCCCCTGCATGTGTTACCTCTCTCGCTATATCTCTCTCTGTCAAATAAATAATTTTTAAAAATTTAAAATAATTTAATTAAATTTTTAATGAATGAATAAAAATTGAAAATGGTGAAATAAAGACATTGCCAGTCAAACCAAAACTGAGGGAATTTGTTGGTAGCAGACTCACCTTACAAGATACATTAAGGAAAGTTCTTCAGAATGAAAGTGACTTTAGATGGTACTCAAAAAAGCACCAGTAAAGGTAATGATGTAATTATAAAAAAGAGAGCACAAATGCGTATTTCTTCTCTTAACTGATCTAAAAAGCAATTATATATATAAAACAATGTTTTGTGATAGTCCCAATCTATTGATAACCAATGTTGTGGCTGGACTGGCCCTTGTGGTTCTTATTATGACTGCAATATGCTCTCAACAATAAATATCAGGAAACTTTGGAAGAAAACATTTATTACTTGCAAGACCTGAAAATTACATGACACCCTTAGAGCCACACAGAGGGGTTGCAGGGAGAGAGACAGAGAGTGAAGGGTTCTACTTTTTTTTTTTTTTTAAGATTTTATTTATTTATTTGAGAGAGAGAATGAGAGATAGAGAGCATGAGGCGGGGAGGGTCAAAGGGAGAAGCAGACTCCCCGCTGAGCAGGGAGCCCGATGCGGGACTCGATCCAGGGACTCCAGGATCATGACCTGAGCCGAAGGCAGCCGCTTAACCAACTGAGCCACCCAGGCGCCCAGGGTTCTACTTTTATTGGGGTTGTGGGGGGCCTAGGGTTTTGTGGGCTTACTATTTACTGATGAAGTTAGAACATAAGAGTAGGAATTTAATGTGAAGGAAGAGAAAAAAAAACAAGCAGCCCAAATGGTCAGTTGTTGAAATCAACCAAGATCTCTAAAACAAAAAAGCCCTGGAAGAGAGGAGGCCTGGCTCTTTATCTAGTCATGTGGCTGGCAAGTGTTTGAAATAGCCATCTTTGAAGTGGATGCCTCTTTGAAATGGATGCCTTGGTTTAAGTCAGGCACTTGCATTATTAAAGAAGGAAAACTGTTAGGGCTTATACTATACAATACTTATAAAATTGTATACAATATAACTGTATTGTTAGGCCTAGAACATATAGAAATATACTATATTAAATAATAACAGCACAAAGATGAGTGGAGCAAAGTTGTATTAGAATGAAGAAATGACACTAAATAGTAACTTGAATCCACAAGAAACAAAGAGAAATAGAAGTGGTAAATAAGGGCGCCTGGGTGGCTCAGTTGGTTAAGTGACTGCCTTCGGCTCAGGTCATGATCCTGGAGTCCCTGGATAGAGTCCCACATCGGGCTCCCTGCTCAGCGAAGAGGCCTGCTTCTCCCTCTGACCCTCCCCCCTCTCATGTGCTCTCTGTCTCTCTCATTCTCTCTGTCTCAAATAAATAAATAAAATCTTTAAAAAAAAAAAAGTGGTAAATAAGGTTAATATAACAAACTCTATAGTATAAACTTTGCCTCTTATTTATTCAGCACCTTTAGTTGACACAAAAATATGTAAAGTTTGGGTTCATGACATATATAGATATAATATGTAAAATAACAACATGAAACAGAGGATGTGGAAATAAAGCTACCGATGGGTAACATTTCTGTATCTCACTGGAACTAAGTTAATACACAGGTAAAGTAGATTTTGATAACTTAAGATGGATATTGCAAGCTACACAGATGAGATTAAGACATTTCCAAGAAGACAAAAACTGGGAGCTCATCACCACTCTACAACTGGGTTAAAAGAAATGCCAAAGGGAATTCAAGTTGAAATGAAAGGACACTAAGTAACAACATGAAATCTTAGGAAAGTATAAAACTCACTGGTAAAGATAAATAGTCAATTTCAGAATACTTTAATATTGCAAAGGTGGTGCATAAGTCACATTTCAATATAAAAGTTAAAAAACAAAAAATATTAAAAATAACTAGCTATAATAATTTCTTGATATGCAATATAAAAAGGTATAAAATGCATCATTAATATAAAATGGGGGAGGGCAAGGGTAAAAGCAGGGCATTTTTATGCAACTGAAGTTGTTATTAGCTTAAAATAGACTGTTACAAGATGTTTTATATAAGCCTCATAGTAACCACAAAGAAAAAACCTATAGTAGATACATGAGATAGAGAGAAGGAATCTATTTTAAAAAATCCTCAGGGGCGCCTGGCTGGCTCTTTTGGTGGGACATGTGACTCTTAATCGTGGGGTCATGAGTTCAATCCCCACATTGTGGGTGGAACCTACTTAAAATAAAATAAAATAAAAACTCTCCCCCCAGCTCTTACTCTTTCTTGCTATCTCGGTCTCATTTATTTATTTGAGAGAGAGCCGGGGTGGAGGGGATACAGAGGGAGATTGAGAGGAAGAAGATTCTCCGCTGAGCAGAGTCCCAACATGGGACTCGATCCCAGGACCCTGAGATCATGACCCGAACGGAAAGCAGATGCTTAACCAACTGAGCCACGCAGGCGCTCCAAATAAAATCTTTAAAAAAATAAAAAATAAAAATTTGAAAAACATAAATAAAAAATCATCAAATCACAAAGGAAAACAGCAAAAGAGGAAGAAAGGAACAAAAGAACTACAATACAGTAAGAAAACAATGAATGAAATGGCAATATTAAGATCTTACCTATCAATAATTACTTTAACTGTAAAGAATTAAATTCTTCAATCAAGGCCACCAAGTAGCTGACTGGACAAAAAAAAAAAGAAGAAAAATAAAAAAGATCCCAAAGTACGCTGTCTACAAGAAAATCACTTAAAAAAAGAAAAAAGAAAGAAAGAAAAGAAAATCACTTTAGCTTTAGGACACACATAGGCTGAAAGTGAAAGGATAGAAAAAGATATTCTGGGGGCTCCTGGGTGGCTCAGTCATTAGGCATCTGCCTTCGGCTCAGGTCATGATCTCAGGGTCCTGGGATCGAGCCCCGCATCGGACTCCCTGCTCCGTGGGAAGCCTGCTTCTCCCTCTCCCAATCCCCCTGCTTGTGTTCCTTCTCTCGCTGTGTCTCTCTGTCAAATAAATAAAACCTTAAAAAAAGAAAGAAAGAAAGAAAGAAAGAAAGAAAGAAAGAAAGAAAGAAAGAAAGAAAGAAAGAAAGAAAGAAAGAAAGAAAGAAAGAAAGAAAGAAAGAAAAAGATATTCTGGGATGCCTGGGTGGTTCAGTCAGTTAAGTGTCTGCCTTCAGCTCAGGTCATGATCTCGTGGTCCTGGGATTGAGCCCCACATCGGGCTTCCTGCTCAGCAGGGAGTCTGCTTCTCTCTCTCCATCTGCCCCTCCCCACTGCTTGTTCTCTCTTTCAAATAAATAAAATCTTAAAAAAAAAAAAAGACATCCTGTGCAAATGATAATCAAAAGAGAGCAGAGGTAGTTATGCTTAAATCAATAAAAATAGACTTTTAGTCAAAATCTGTCAGGAGACAAAGGTCGCTATATAATAAGTGGTCAATTCAAAAAGAGGATATAACAATTATAAATATATATGCATTCAACATTAGAGCATTTAAATATATAAAACAAATACTGACAGATCTGAAGGGAGAAGTAGAAAGCAATAAAAGGATAGTGGAGAACTTCAATATCCCACTTTCAACAATGGATAGCTCTTTCAGACAGAAAACCAATAAGGAAAAAGTGGACTTGAATAACACTTTAGACCAAATGGAACTAATGGACATACACAGAACATTCCATTCAACAGCAGCAGAATACACATTCTTCTCAAGAACACACACAACATTCTCCAGGATACATCATATGTTAGGCTATAAGACAAGTCTTACCATGTTTAAGACTGAAATCATATCAAGTAACTTTTTTGACCACAATAGTTTGAAACTACAAACAGGAGGAAAACTGGAAAATTCACAAATATGTGAAAATTATATATTTTCAGGAGTACACACTCCTGAACAACCAATGGATCAAAACAGAAACCAAAGAGTATCTTAAGAAAAATGAAAATGGATATAAACGTATGGGATAAAACAAATGCAGTTCTAAGAGGGGAGTTTACAGAGGTAAAAGCCTACCTTAAGGGAAAAAAAAAAAAACAACTTAAGTACCTAACTTCACACCTCAAGGAACTAGAAAAAAAGAACTAAGCCCAAAGTTTGCATAAGGAAGGAAATGATAAACCTAAGAGCAGCTATAAATGAAAGAGACTTAAAAGACAATAGAAAAGGGCGCCTGGGTGGCTCAGTTGGTTAAGCGACTGCCTTCGGCTCAGGTCATGATCCTGGAGTCCCTGGATCAAGTCCCGCATCGGGCTCCCTGCTCGGCAGGGAGTCTGCTTCTCCCTCTGACCCTCCTCCCTCTCATGCTCTCTGTCTCTCATTCTCTCTGTCTCAAATAAATAAATAAAATCTTTAAAAAAAAAAAAAAGACAATAGAAAAGATCAATAAAAACGTAGAGTTGGTAGGTGCCCAAGAGTTGGTCCTTTTTAAAGACAAAGTTGAGGGCGCCTGGGTGGCTCAGTCATTAAGCGTCTACCTCTGGCTCAGGTCGTGATCCCAGGGTCCTGGGATCGAGCCCCGCATAGGGCTCCCTGCTCAGCGGGAAGCCTGCTCTCCCTCTCCCACTCCCGCTGCTTGTGTTCCTGCTCTCACTATCTCTGTCTCTGTCAAATAAATAAATAAAATCTTAAAAAAAAAAAAAAAGACAAAGTTGAAAAACTTCTAGCTTGTCTGACTTAACCAAAAACACAGAGACAGAGAGGACTCAAATAAATAATATTATAAACAAAAGGAGAGAGTTCCAATATTGCAGAGCAGGCAATGAAGGATGAGGAGCAGAAAGGCAGTAACTTTATAGTTGGCACAGTGTTTATAAATCCCTGGATAATATTGAAAATAAATGAAAGAGGGCTAAATTTGGACCAATGATGAGAATTTCATGAATAAAAGATTATGACTGGGGCACCTGGGTGGCTCAGTCGATTAAGCATCTGCCTTCAGCTCAGGTCATGATCCCAGGGTCCTGGGATCGAGCCCCGCATCAGGCTCCCTGCTCAGTGGGGAGCCTGCTTCTCCCTCTCCCTCTGCCTGCTGCTCCCCCTGCTTGTGCTCTCTCTCTGCCTGTCAAATAAATAAAATCTTAAAAAAAAAAAGATTATAATTAATCTACTTTCATCCGAAGAATTTTTTTAAAAAGTTAATCCCTGGAAGAATACAAAAGAATTGACAGCTGTGGTTGACCCTGTGTAAGTAAAGCAGGTGGCTATAAAACCAGATATTAAGGAAGCTTTAATTTTTACTTTACTTGCTTGGTAACTTCTGAATTTTGTAGCATGTGCTTTTATTGCCTAATTTTTAAAATTAAAAAATCAATGTAATATCAAAACATACATACACTCTCATGGCTGGTAATCTACCCTCCATAATGGAAATAAAAGAATGACAATGTAAGAATGTTTATTGTATGACCATTTGTGATGAAAACAGAAACAACTGAATGTCTACAGTAGGAAATGGCTTAAAATACAGATATATATCCCATACTAGAAATATTCTGAGGCTTGAAAGAAAATGAGTTAGATCTTTATGTATTCACCTGGGAAAATGTTTGCAATTATTTGTGCAAAAAGAAATTGCCATGAAATATGTCACTGTAAGTGGTATAACCTTCCACACACATGCAATAAACCCTTCATATTTGCAGGTATGTTTGAGCAGGATGGAGCAACACTCACATATTGGCTATCTCAGGGATTTGTGAAAGGGGAAGAAATTGTTTTCATTTTATTTCTGCCACATTTCACTAGTTTCAGTAAAAACACGGTTTTATAAAATTTATCTCCAATACTGGGTGTTATAACAACCCAGAAACAGCACTGGAACCAGAGCAATTAAAAAATTTTACCTGTTAATTACTTTTCCATTTTCCCGCTTGAAGTTTTTTTTTCCCCCAAGGATTACTGAAATAAATCCGTATTAATGAAATTCAGTATTTTACCAACTTTTACCTTGAAAACAAAAAGGAAAACCTGTATTTCTAAAAATATTATCATGATGCTAGAGTAGGATGGGGAGAGAGGAGAGGAAATCTTACTGGCATCTCAACAGTATGAAGTGCCTGATGTAGATTAAATTGCAAGCCATGATTAAAGGCCTTCCCACACTCATAACGTTTCTTCCCAGAATGAATTTTCTGATGGTGTGAGAAGCTTGAATGATAGCTAAAGGCCTTCCCACATTCCTTACATTCATAGGGCTTCTCACCAGTATGTATTCTCTGATGTTGAATAAGGTGTGAATGAAGTCTAAAGGCCTTACCACATATCATACATTCATGAGGTTTCTCACCAGTATGAATTCTCTGATGTCTTTTGAGGTGTGAGCACTGTCTAAAAGTCTTCCCGCATTCCTTGCATTCATAGGGTTTCTCACCAGTATGAATCCTCCGATGTAGAGTAAGTTGTAAGCCATCACAAAAGGCCTTCCCACATTCATTACATTCATAAGGTTTTTTGCCAGAATGAATTTTCTGATGGTGAGAGAAGCTTGAGTGATAGCTAAAGGCCTTTCCACATTCTCTACACTTGTAGGGTTTCTCACCAGTATGAATTCTCTGATGTATGGTAAGGTGTGAGCGATGCCTAAATGTCTTTCCACATTCTTTACATTCATAGGGTTTCTCACCAGTATGGAGTCGAAGATGTTCAGTAAGTTGAAAGCCACGAATAAAAGCCTTCCCACATTGCTTACATTCATAAGGTTTTTCACCAGTATGAAGTCTCTGATGTTGAGTTAGCTGTGATCGCTGCCTAAAGGCCTTCCCACATTCCTTACATTCATAGGGTTTTTCACCAGTGTGAATTCTCTGATGCAGAATAAGTTCTGAGCCGTAATTAAAGGCCTTTCCACATTCTTTACATTCATAGCGTTTTTCACCATTATGGATTCTCAGGTGTTGTTTAAGTTGTGAACAATGAATAAAAGCCCTCCAACATTCCTTCCATTCATTGCACTTGCTACTATTTTGAATTTTCTGTTTAGTAAGATATGATGTATTAACAGTTTCTGCACATTCCTTACATTCAAAAAGTTTTTCTTTAGAATGAGTTCTTTTGTGATGACTAAAAAATAAATAGTAACTGAAGATTTTTCTACATTCTTTACACTCAACATTTTTCTCTCTATTATAAAATTCCTGAGTGAGTAAAGTATGTTGGTTAAATATAGGCATGTGTTCATGGTTGATAACAAATTGCCTGAAATAGCCCTCCTGTTCCTGTTGTATCTCCAACTGACTACTGCATTCCCAAATATCTCTGAAAATGGACTTCTCAGGATTATGACTTTTAAATTGTTCCACGATAGCCCATCGGGATGTCTCTGTCTCATAAATGTCTCTTTTTGGAGATAACTTCTTGGCCTCACACCTGGACACCAAGTCTGAAAGATAAGAAACATATTTTAATTGCTGGCTTTGTGTTAGAAAACAAATAAAATATCTATGGTAGAAAAGAGAGATAACTGAAAAATAATTCACACAAGAGATGAAAGGCTTGGAGAGCTCTTAAACACCATCATGCAACTGAATGAAAAAAAGGGTAAGGAGAACATAGAGAAATGAGAGCTCATAGGAGAAAGTGAGGGAGTTAATTAACAAGTCAAGTCAGTGGTTCTGAAATTTTTTTTGAAGATTTTATTTTTAGGCAATCTCTACACCCAACATGGGGCTTGAACCCACAACCCTGAGACCAGGAGTCAAACTGAGCCAGCCAGGCGCCCCAATGGTTCTGAAATTTTGATCTACCTCAGAATTTGTTGCAATTATGGATGTCTAGGAAACATTCTAGATCAAATGAATCAGTATCTACCAGAGTCAGTTTTAGAATGAGATCAACTGAATTAGAATCTACAAGTATATGTTTAACACTTTCCACCAGGCCAAAGGATTATGATATGGAGACTACTAATTACCCCCAAATGTGTATTGTATATTGATTGAACCCATGGTTTTTAGTTGAGAACAACGCTGTCCAATATAAAACACTGCCATTTCCCAGGCTCTTTTGCAGAATATGCGATGTAACTGAATTCTGCCTTAAAAAATGCATAAGTATTATATAGTAGTTTCTGAGATGTTAAAAGCCAGCTGGCCCCTGTCCTATATCCTTTATTCTTCCATTTCCTCAGACTGCAATGTGGATGTGGTGTCATGTCACATAATGGTTTTGCAGAGCAGAACTTCCACTCCAGCCTGGACTTTAATGCAAGAGAAAACTAACCTTCTATATAGTTTAAGCCATTATTATTTTTGAGTTTCTGTCACATGCAGCCAAACCTATAACCAAATTAAAGTAGCTTTCTATTGAACTGAAATTTAAAAATCCAATTCTTTATTATGAGAACACAAGGCCCTCTGTGTACTAATAAGGCCTCACTTAGAGTCCATTTCCATTTTTTTTTTTTTAAGATTTTATTTATTTATTTGAGAGAGAGAGAATGAGAGACAGAGAGCATGAGAGGAAGGAGGGTCAGAGGGAGAAGCAGACTCCCCGCCGAGCAGGGAGCCCGATGCGGGATTCGATCCCGGGACTCCAGGATCATGACCTGAGCCGAAGGCAGTTGTTTAACCAACTGAGCCACCCAGGTGCCCGAGTCCATTTCCATTTTATTGGTGTGCTACAACACTAACCTCCTTTCAACAATTAGGACATTCCATAGTCTTTATCTTAGAGCTTTTCAGAGGCTGTTTCAGAAGAAAAAGTTTAAGACTGACAGCTGTATAAAGCATCCTATTCTAACACAATTTATTTTCCCATTTTCCTAGTGATGGACGTTTGGGTTGTTTTCAATTGTTGGCTATTATGATTAGTACTGCTATGAACATTCCTGTACATTTCTTTAGGTGGAAATAGGACTCCTTTCTGCTAAATGTATCCATTTAGGAGTGAAACTGTTGCATCATGGGATATGCATTTGTTCAGAGTTCACTGACACTTTCCAATAGTTTCCTCATTTTCTCATCAAATTGTAAAAGAGTTCCAGTTCCTCACATCCTCACCAACACTTGTTATTGTCAATCTTACATTCAGGCATCCTAGCAGATATGTTATGATACCGCATTGTGGTTTAATTTGCAATTTCCCTGATGGCAAGTGAGGTTGAGCACTTTTTCATACGTTTATTGGCCAGCTGGATATCTTCTTTAATAAACTGCCAACTCAGGTCTTTTGTCCATTCTTACTGATTTTGTGTGTGTGGTAAAATTCATATAACATAAAATCTACCAGTTTAAACTTCTGGAAGTATACAATTCAGTAACTTTTGATACATTCTCAATGTTGTTCAACCATCAGATCACTATCTAATTCCAGAACATTCTCATCATGCCAAAAAGAAACCACATATCCATAGTCATTTCCTCTTCCCCTCAGCTCCTGGCAACCACTAATCTGCTTTGCATCTCTATAAATTTGTCTATTCTGGAAATTTCATACAAATGGAATCATACAATATGTAACCTTTTGTGTCTTTTTTCACTGACTACAATGTTTTCAAGGATCAACCCTTTTGTAATATGTATCAGTACTTCATTTCTTTTTTAATGGCTGAGTAATATTCCATTGTACAAATATACCATTTATTATTTATCCATTCATCAGTCGAGTGTCATTTGGGTAGTTCCTGGGTTGTACTGTTCTTTTTTCTTTGTAGAAATTCTTAATGTAGTCTGAATATAACCAACATATTGCAAATATCTTACTCGGCCTGGCATTTTCACTCTCTTAATGTTTTGATAAATAGAAGTTCCTAATTTTAAGGCAGTCTAATCCCAAGGTCATGAAAATATACTCATATTGTTTTCTATTTTGCCTTTCATATTTAGACCTATAACCTACCTAAATTAGGTTTTAAATTTTAAGATTTTATTTATTCATTTGAGACACAGAGATATATATATATAGAGAGAGAGAGAGCATGAGCAGGGAGAGAGGCAGAGGGAGAGGGAGAAGCAGGCTCCTTGCTGAGCCAGGAGCCCGATGCGGGGCTCGATCCCAGGACCCTGGGATCATGACCTGAGCCGAAGGCAGACACTTAACCATCTGAGCCACCCAGGCACCCCACCTAAATTAGGTTTTATGATGTGAGATAGAACTCAAGATACCTAGCTTCTGATGTAGTTATCCAATTGGCTCACACCATTTATTGAGAAGACAATCCTCTGCATGTCTTTCTCTGTAATCCACTCCAATAAATATTTCAACTCCCATACCTATGTTGAAATATTTCTAAAGTCACTAATAAAATCACTTTGCCAAAATCAGTGCTCTAGTGCTAGTCATTACTCTACTCGACTCATTAGCAGCATTTGACACAAATGATCAGTCCCTTTGCTTCCTATATACCATATTCTTCTGTTTATCCTTCTACCTTTGTACTTGTACTCAGTTCCCCTTAATGCATCCTCTTCTACTACCTGACCTCTAAATATTGGAATGTCCTGAAACCCAGGCTCTGGCTAGCCATCAATCTATACTCTTTGCCTATAACAGGTCTCGCTTAAATTCCAGTCATATACTCCTAAGTCTTAAATTGATAATGCTGACTTTTTAAAAAAATTGTGGCAAAATACATGTAACATAAAATTTACCATCTTAACAATTTTAAGTGTACAGTTCAGCAGTGTTAAGTATGTTCACATTTTTGCACAACCAATCTCCAGGACTTTTTCAACTGAAACTCTGCACTCATTAATAACTCCTCCCCATTCCTTCCTCCCCCAGTTCCTGACATCCATCATTCTACTTCTGTTTCTATGGATTTGACTACTCTAGATACTTCATATCAGTGGACTCATACAGTGTTTGTCTTTTTGTGACTGCTTTATTTCACTGAGCATAATGTCCTCAACATGTTCATCCATGTTATAGCATGTGTCAGAATTACTTCCTTTTTAAGACTGAATAACATTACACTGTATACATATGCATATATACATATAGACACACACATTTTGTTTATCCACTCACCTGTTGATGGACACCTAGGTTGCTTCCACCCTTTGGCTCTTGTGTATAATGCTGCTAAGAACATGGGGGTACAAACATCTGTTTAGATTGCTGCTTTCAATTCTTTTGGGTATATATCCAGAGTTAGAATTGCTGGATCATATGGTAATTCTCTTTTTAAGTTTTTGAGGAACCATCATACTGTTTCCCACAATGGCTACACCATTTTACACTCCCACCAACACAAAGGTTCCAATTTCTCCACATCCTCACCAACACTTGTTACTTTGTTATTTTTTTTCTTTTAAGATTTTACTTATTTGAGAGAGAGAGAGAATGAGCACAAGCAGGGGGAGCAGCAGAGGGAGAGGGAGAAGCAGGCTCTCCACTGAGCAGGGAGCCTGATGCAGGGCTTGATCCTAGGACCCTGGGATCATGACCCAAGCCAAAGGGAGACCTTTAACCCCTTGGTTTTTCATAGTAAACATACATACTAATGGATGTGAAGTGAGATTTCATTGTGGTTTTGATTTGCATTTCCCTAATGGCTAGTGATGTTAAGCATCTTCTCATGTGCTTACTGGCTACTTGTATATCATCTGTGGAGAAATCTGTATTAAAAATCCTTTCCCCCTTTTTTAAATTGAGCTGCTTGGTTTCTTTGATATTGAGTTGTAGGATTTCTTTATATATTCTGGATATTAACCCTTTGTCAGTTATATGATTTATAAATGTTTTCTCCTATTCCAGAGGTTGCCTTTTCATTCTATTGTATACTTTTATGTATATACTTCTAGCTTTTATCTTGTATTCAATACAAGTCTAATAAAATTCCTACAATGTTGTTTGAAGAACTTGAAAAACTAATTCAAAAATATATTGGAAAAACAAACATTTAAGAATAGCCAGAACACTACTGAAAAAGATCAGAGTCAGAGAATTTACAATGCCTATGATAAAGACATCACAAAGACTTAAAAATTAAGACAATGTAGTATTCATATAGGGCCTGACTCATGGAAAGACCAGAAGCAGACCGACATAGAAAGCATTACAGATCAGTGATGAAAGAATAATTTAAAAAATGATATTAGAACAACTAGCTATAGATATAAAAAAATTACTCTGGTTCCCTACCATACACCATAAATACATAAACTCAAACTGCATTAAAGACCTACAAGTTGAAGGAAAAATTGTAAAGTTTATGGGAAAAAATATGGATATATATAAAGCACACCTAAAGGTAGAATGGATTTCTCAAACAAGACACAAACAGGCTAACTAGAAAAAAGATAAAGCTAAAAGAAAAATGGGCAAAAGATCTGTTTAGACATTTCACAAAAGGAGAAACACTAATGCTAAACAATCATATGCAAAGATGCTCAAACTCACTAGAAATCAAGGACATTCAAATTAAGATATAATGTGATACCATTTCATACTCATGAGATTGGTAAAACTTAAAATATCTAAGAATTTCACTCATTGTTAAGATGTTGAATCACCAAAATTATTAAACATTGCAGTGGTAATGTAAATTACTACCAACACTCAGGAAAACAATCTGGTGTAACAAAGTTGAAGATGAACATGTTCTCTGATCCAGCAATTCCAATAGTACATAGCCTGGAGAAAATCTTGTATTATGTGCTTCAGGAGACATGTAAGAATATTCATTGCACCATTGTGCATACTAGTCAAAAATTACAAACCCAAATTCTAACAACCAGAAATTTGTATACTCTGGTTTCTCTTCAAAACGCATAAATCTTTCGCCTTTTACTAACAACCAGAAATTTGTGGAATGAAATATTATACAGCTAAGAAAATGAACTCAGGCATAAAACAATATGGGAAAATTATTATAAACCATATGGTACAAAATAACCAAATCACAAAAAACACATCTCATTATCATTTTTATAAACTTAAAAATAAGCAAAACACAACAAATAGTATTTAAGGGCATACACAAGTGTCATAAGCTATTTTTAAAAATGGAATAATCATAAAACAATTCAAGATAATGGTTACCTTTAGAGATGTAGCAGGGGAAGAGACCAGGGAAAAGCATACAGATAGCTTGCATGGCATTGGTCACATAACAATTCCTAACTAAATCACCAGATAGACTCCTCAGATTAAATAAAACATTCCATTCTCTCTGGAATACATTATGACAGGATCCAGCAAGATCAGTGGTACTAGTTACTTGGCTACACGTATCCAAGACGATCCCAACAGCCAAGTTGTATGCCTGCCAGAAGTCAGCTGTATTTGTTCCCCTCCCTGTTTATACCAATAGATGAAATGAATATGAAAACTGTTTCAGTAAACTAACTGTTTTGGAAAGATCACATAATGGCAATCATTTAAGAAAAAGCAAAAAAAAAAAAATGCTACGAGAGAAAGATTGGTGATGGTGACATAAAAATGAAGTACTCCACACACACAGTCTTTAGGATCTTCCCCTTCTTTAAAGAAATCAAAGCAAATATCATAGAAAATGCACAGTCTAAAGTTCATTTTTTAAAAATTTTTTAAAGATTTTATTTATTTCAGAGAGAGAGAACACACGTGGAGGGAGGGGCAGAGGGAGGAGAGGGAGAGAATCTCAAGCAGACTCTGCCTTGAGTTTGGAGCCTGATGAGGGGCTTGATCTCAAGACCCTGGGATCATGACCTGAGCCAAAACCAAGAGTCAGACGTTTAACCAACTGAGCCACCCAGGCGCCCCTAAAGTTCATTTTTAAAGGAAAATTTAAAATCTCTATCACAAACCAAAAACCCTGGAAATTACCTATCATACAATAAAATTACTTTGAATGCCTGAAGCAAGAAGGTCAATTGATTTGGATTCTGTGGATTTGAGGAACTACCGTGTGGTGAGTTCCCTGGGGTTTCTTTTCTTTTTCCTGTTTTTTCTTTTTTAATTCCACTATAATTAACATAGAATGTTACATTAGTTTTAGGTATACAATATAGTGATTCAACAATTCTATACATTACTCCATGCTCATCCAATTAAGTGTAGTCTTAATCCCCTTCACCTATTTCACCCATCTCCCCACCCACCTCTGGTAACTATCAGTTTGTTCTCTATATTTAAGAGTGTTTTCTTGTCTCTTTTTTCTTTGTTTCATTTCTTAAATTCCACACATGAATGAAATCATATATTTGTTTTTCTTTGACTACTTCACTTAGCATTATACCCTTTAGATCCATCCATGTTGTTGCAAATGGCAAGATTTCATTCCTTTTTATTGCCGAATAATATTCCATTGTATATATACACACCACATCTTCATCCATTCATCTATTGATGGACACTTGGGTTGCTTCCATATCCATGCTATTGTAAATAATGCTGCAATAAAAATGCTGCATATATCTTTTCAAATTAGTAATTTATTATTCTTTCTGTAAATACTCTGTGGAATTACTGGATCATATGGTAATTCTATTTCTAGTTTGTTTTTTTTTTTTAAAGATTTTATTTATTTATTTGACAGAGAGAGACACAGCGAGACAGGGAACCCAAGCAGGGGGAGTGGGAGGAGAAGCAGGTCTCCCATTGAGCAGGGAGCCCAACGCAGGGCTCGACCCCAGGACCCTGGGATCGTGACCTGAGCTGAAGGCAGACGCTTAACGACTGAGCCACCCTGGCGCCCCTATTTCTAGTTTTCTGAGGAAACTTCATACTGTTCTCCACAGTGGCTGCACCAGTGTGCATTCCAAACATGCATGAGGGTTCCTTTGTCTCTACATCCTCGCTAACACTTGTTTATTGTGTTTCTGATTTAGCCATTCTGATAGGTGTGAGGTGATACCTCACTGTGATATCTCATTATGGTTTCAATTTGCATTTCCCTGATGACCTGTGATGTAGAACATTTTTTCATGTGTCTATTGGCATCTGTATGTCTTCTTTGGAGAAATGTCTGCTAATGTCTTCTGCCCAATTTTTAGTTGGATTATTTGTATTTTGGGTGTTGAGTTGTATCAGTTCTTTATATATTTTGATACTAGCCCTTTATCAGGAATGTCATTTGCAAATGTCACTCACTCTAGTGAGTTTCTAGTGAGTAGACTGTCTTTTAGTTTTGTGGATTGTTTCCTTTGCTGTGTAGAAGCTTTTTACTTTGAAGTAGTTCCAATAGTTTATTTTTGCTTTTGTTTCCCTTCTCTCAGGAGACATATAAAGAAAAATGTTGGTATGGCCAATGTGAGAGAAATTACTATGTGTGCTCTCTTCTAGCATTTTCATGGTTTCAGGTCTCACTTGTAGGTCTTTAATTCATTTTGAGTTTATTTTTGTGTATGGTGTAAGAAAGTGGTCCAGTTTCATTTTTTTTGCATGTAGCTGTGCAGTTTCCCCAACACCATTTGTTGAAGAGACTGTCTTTCACCCATTGGATATTCTTGCCTCCTTTGTCATAGATTAATTGACCATATAATTTTGGGTTTATTTCTGGGTTTTCTATTCACTTCCATTGAACTATGTGTCTGATTTTATACTGTTTTGGTTACTACAGCTTTGTAGTCTATCTTGAAATCAGCTATTGTTTCTTCAGATAAATTTTCTGCCCTTTTTTCTCTCTTTTCTGGGATCCCTATAATATGAATATTATTATGCTTGATGGTGTTGCTGAGTTCCCTTAGTTTATTTTCATTTTTTATTATTCTTTTTCCTTTCTCCTGTTTGGCTTAATTGCTTTCCATTATTCTCTCCTTCATGTTGCTGATCCATTCTTCTCTTCCTCTAGTCTACTACTTATTTTTAATTTCAGTTGAGTTCTTCATCATGGATTGGTTTATTTTTATGTTTTCTATCTCTTTGTTGAGGGTTTCACCGAGGTCCTCCACTCTTTTCACAATTCCAGTTAGTATCTTTATGACCATTACTTTAAATTCTCTATCAGTCATATTACATATCTCCGTTTCACTTAGGTCTATCATTGTGATTCTGTCCTGTTCTTTCATCTGGGACATATTCCCCTGTCTCTTCATTTTGTCTAACTCTCTGTGTCTGTTTCTATGTGTTAGGAAAGTTAGCTATGTCTGATTAGGAAA